TTCGGTTTGAGAGAATTTGTACCAAACTAAAACCATTTGTGTTTCGATTTGGTTTCGGTTCGGTTTGAAGTTCGGTCTACCAAACTGAAAGTTATTAGGTTCAATTTAGTTCGATTTGATTCGGTTTCTTATGTCTATTATTTTATTTGATCAAGTTTTATATTTTAGAATTAGAAAATGAAAGTAATAGACCATCTCATCTTCTTTTATTTATTATTTAAATAAAATGTAAAAGGAAATAAAAGTTACTCCGTATAAAAAAGAAATAATAAAATATTACTAGGTATAAATTAAAACTTCTAACATCTTATCAATCACTAGAAAAAGATTCACTTCTCACAAAAAATAAATTTATATTTGATTAGCATTTATAATATCTCATAAAATATCAAAGAAAACTAAATGAGTCAATGGTGCAAATGTTGTAATATTCACAATTTTATTCAAAGAATCATGTAAAAATATAAATGTATTTTGCTATTGTTATCGCCAAATATCTTTTCATATAGGTAGAAGTATAAAACATAACAAATACAAATATGTCGTATTAGTTAATTTTTTCGTAATGAATGTATGACATGTGTAAAAGTTAAATTGATATATGCTACTCCCTCCATCCCGCTAAAAGATTCCCTTTGGCAGTTTACGATGCTTGACTGATTATTGGAACTCTGAATATGTATGACTTTGCACCCTACAACTTACAAAATGGAGTGACGGACGTTGTCAGTCAAGCATCGTAAACTGCCAACGGGAATCTTTTAGCGGGATGGAGGGAGTAGCATATATCAATTTAACTTTTACACATGTCATACATTCATTACGAAAAAATTAACTAATACGACATATTTGTATTTGTCATGTTTTATACTTCTACCTATATGAAAAGATATTTGGCGATAACAATAGCAAATTACATTTATATTTTTACATGATTCTTTGAATAAAATTGTGAATATTACAACATTTGCACCATTGACTCATTTAGTTTTCTTTGATATTTTATGAGATATTATAAATGCTAATCAAATATAAATTTATTTTTTCTGAGAAGTGAATCTTTTTCTAGTGATTGATAAGATGTTAGAAGTTTTAATTTATACCTAGTAATATTTTATTATTTCTTTTTTATACGGAGTAACTTTTATTTCCTTTTACATTTTATTTAAATAATAAATAAAAGAAGATGAGATGTTCTATTACTTTCATTTTCTAATTCTAAAATATAAAACTTGATCAAATAAAATAATAGACATAAGAAACCGAATCAAATCGAACTAAATTGAACCTAATAACTTTCAGTTTGGTAAACCGAACTTCAAACCGAACCGAAACCAAATCGAAACACAAATGGTTTTAATTTGGTACAAATTCTCTCAAACCGAATAAATCGAAACCAACCCGAAACTGAAGAAAACCGAACCGTAAACAGAATTGCCCACCCCTACCCTACCCTATCCGGTCCGTGGTAGGGGTAGGGCCGAGGTAGGGAAAGTGGTATGGTCGGGTCAAGGTGGGGTCGAAAGTGGGGTGAGGTCGGGGTCGAGGTAGGGGCAAATGGTAGGGGGTAAAAGGGTAGGGTCGAGGTAGGAGGTACAAGTGGGGGTCGGGGTAGGGTGATGGGGTGGGTCCAGGGTCGGGGTGGGATCGAGGTAGGGCAGGTGGTAGGGTATGGTTGGGTAAGGGGTAGGGGTGGTAACAACTAGGTAGGGGTAGGGTACGAGGTGAGGGTTAAGGCAGGTGGTAGGGGGTAGGGCCGAGGTAGGGTAAGGGGTATGGTCGGGTCAGGGTGGGGTCGAGGTAGAGGCAGGTGGTAGGGGGTAAAGGGGTAGGGTCAAGGTAGGGTAAGGTATGGTTAGAAGGTGGGTTGGGTTGGGGTCGGGGTCGAGGTAGGGGCAGGTGGTAGGGGGTAAAAGGGTAGGGTCGAGGTAAGGGGTACAAGTGGTGGTAGGGTATAGGTAAAAGGGGGTGGGATCAGGGTGGGGTGGTAAGGGTTAGGGTAAAAGGGGTGAGTCAGGATAAGGTAGAGTTAGGGGGTAGGGGTGGGGGTGGGGTAGAGGGTAACAATAGGATAAGGGTAAGGGTAAATTCGGAAACTGAAAAAATTTAAAGTGTCGCTTAATTAATAGATGGAGGGTGGTATGCTTAGTAAGCGACACTTTAAACGTCTCTTTCGATTAGTAAGCGGTTTTTTAAGCAGCTTGCGTGACTTTAGCGAAATAAACGCCTCCTAAGTACTTTATTAGGCCTTTCCATTTTTAGCCTCCTATGAATATACTCCCTCCGGTTCCTATTAAAGTTCTAGTTTGACTTCACACAGATTAAAAAAATAAATTTGACTTTACTGTGGAGTGCACTGTTTGGACACTGTTTGGCACTGTTTTGTTTCTTACCATGGAAGTGTGAACTTAAATAAGGAACATCTCAAAAAGGAAAATGAGAACTTTAATAGGAACCAGAGGGAGTAAGTCTTTGGGGCAGCAGTCATCGACCACGATCTTCGAATATTTCCAGGGAGCCGGAAAAGAATAACTGTGGAACAATATTCCGTCGACTGTCGTCTCTTCTCTGTGTGAACTGTCAAGGCTTATAAACGTATATTTCAATATCTCTCTTTTGGGTTATTTTAGTAATGTATCTCGGTTGCAGACTTGCATTTTGTTACTTTTAAAATGATTTTCGAACTTGAAAGTGAACTATGTTGCATGATTTTGGAACCTTTAGAAACCTTGTTGCTGAGTTTTCTGGAGTTCGTTTGATTCCATGCTGAACTCAGATAAATGAGTTTGTGATAATTAAGGTTAGCTTAAAAAATTATTTATCTATTTTCAAAGTAAATATTGAAAATTTTAGGAAAAACTATCAAATAAGCCCTCGTACTATGCTGGAAAAGTCAATTAGGCCCTTATACTTTAGAAACACCCAATTAGAACTTTGAACTTTGAAAAAATGTTCAATTAAGCATTTTAACAGGTAAAGGACTGGTCTATCTGGTTAATTGCACATGTGGCAGCCGCGTGGTAGACCACATGGCCATCATTTTCAATTTTCTTTATTTTTCTCTTTTCTTTTCCTATTTATTTATTTATTTGCTTTTTTCTTTCTCTTTCTTTTCCCTTTTTCGTTTTTTGTTTTCTCGTTCCTTGGCTATTGCAGGGACTTCCTCATCTGCCACAAGAGACGTGATTCCTCCCCGGCAGCTTTGTCACAAGACCAGGTGGCTTCCGCCGCCGTATTCAAGGACCAAGGTCCCAAGCTAAACGCAACTCTCCTTGTTGGGATTTCCGGCGAACTTTGGCGAGGGCAGCAACTCCGGCTAGAACGGCTGCATCTCTGGCTCAAACTGAGGCAACCCATCCTTGTTGTTTTGGGCTCGAATCGAGATTCTCTAGCACCGACCGGAGAAATTGTCTTGGTTCCTTGCCTCCTTGGAACTCCTTGGCAGATTTGTCGTAAGCCCAGGCCAAATTAAACCCGACTGCTCTTGCTAGGAAGTCCGGCGGAAACTCAGGTGATGTCGGCATCTCTCCTCTATGCGAAAGGAAACAAAGAAAGAAACAAAAAAAGAAATAAACGAAAAAGAAAATCAAAGAGAAAGAGAATGAGGATTTACGAGAACAGCCGGAAGTCATTAGGAATTCTGAGAAATTGGGGAAGTCAGGGAAAATGGGAACGAAGGGGAACCAGAAAAAGAAAGAGAAGAAGGAAGAAAAAAGAAAAGGAAAAAGAAAAATGAAAATGATGGCCATGTGGTCTACCCACGTGGCTGCCACATGTGCAATTAACCAGGTAGACCAGTCCTTTACCTGCTAAAATGCTTAATTGAACATTTTTCAAAGTTCAGGGTTCTAATTGAGTGTTTCTAAAGTATAAGAACCTAATTGACTTTTCCAGCACAGTACGGGGGCTTATTTTATAGTTTTCCCAAAATTTTAAAGTAATGCTATCGGAATATGAGCCCGGTAAGGTTCGGCTCCAAATATTACGTACTCCCCCTGTCCCATTAAAAAGTTCCAATTACGTTTTCTTGACTGACGATAAAACAACTTAATTTCTGCTCACGCTTTGATTATTTTTAGTAAATACAAATTCACATATTCAGAAACTATATTAAAACCGCTACAAAGCTTGATTAAAAATGAAAATTTGATAAAAAATTGATGTATAAAGCAAAAGATTAAGAATGATTTAAGTTGACAATGTGAATAGTGGATGTGAACCTTTGAATGGGACGGAAGTAGTATGATAATTGTTACACTTACACCCGGATCGAACCTAACAGTTCCATGGAACCGAGGTCCTTGAAAAAACCGACATTCTGGTTGATAAAGTGGGAATAAAGTAAAAAAAATTAGAACCACACAAATGTTACCAAATATGGTATGTGACAATAATTAGGGGACATTCAAAAAGGAAAAAATGAAACAATTATTAGAGGAGAAAGAATATATATTACACATCCCTAACGGGCCCGACCCCCTAACCTAGGCATAAACACAAAAGTACAAAACTAGAATTTTTTAGGTTACTACAATATTAGGGAGTATTTACACAATAGTTTTTTATGTATATCGGAAGTACACTTACTTTTTACCTTTATTACGGTGTATAAGTTTAACACAAATGCTAAAGGTACCCAAAATGTATCACATTTTTACCCTCACCCCTAATGTGTGGTCATAAATGGAGCAATTCATTTATATGATGCCCCACTTAAATGAATTGTCCCATTTATAGCCACACATTAGAACGTGGGGTAAAATTGGGATACATTTTGGGGCACCTCTAACATTGCTCTAATTTTAAATCTGAGGAAGAGAAAGTTTTGTTACGCCCAATCAACGCTTAAAAGCAGACATGTTTGTTTTCCTTGGCGGTAAAAGTGAGAACAGGATCCCTTTTTATTTTGATTAGGCAGGGGTGAGAACTGATGCAGGGCAATTTTTTTTTTGTTATATATATAATTTATATTTGTTTTTAGAAAATTGGCCCATTGTAAAATTAAAACTGGTGGGTAAAAATTTGTGGCCCAAACAAAAAACAGTCCAGCTCCTAAGCGATCTAAGCGATCCAAACAAGGAGGGGCGGGCATCAGTTTCACGCTAACGGCAAACCAGCACCGCAGCCCGCGCTCCCGACTCCCGCAGCATTCACGCAAACGGCATCAGTAATCGTCGGACTCTCGCCTTCTGCTCGCCGACTAGCCGGAGACGCACTCACGCACGACGCACTCACGCACGACGCACCCTAAGCTGCTAGGCTGCACCGCCTGCACGGTGACTCGCCAGCTCGCCGGACTGTCTTTTGGTCTCCGGTCTCCAGAATCCAGCAGAATCGCTGCTTCAGCCTTCAAGCAGACCCGCAGTTCTTCTAGGTAAGGGTTTCTTTATTATTATTTTTTCAATTTTTAGATTAATTAGGTGATTTATTTGTTAAATTAGTTTGTGTTAGTGATTAGTTTGTCACAACTGATTTGTGTAATTGTGTGCTTTGAATTGTGAAATAGAAAATTAGAAATGTCAAATGTTATTTGTGAATTTTAGAAAATATTAATACTCCCTTCGTCCCTGAAAATCCTTCCCACTTTCCGGTCTGTTCCAAAAAATTCTTCCCACTTACCATTTTTGGACAAATTGGTTCAGGTTCATTTCACATTTTTCTTACACAACTACAACCATACATTTCCATTTTATTCCACTTTCTTAATAAGCGTGACAAGTCAAACCGGGAAGCATTTTTAGGGACGGAGGGAGTATGAATTATATGAATTAAAATAAAGTATTGATTAGTATTTTATTTTTTCTGCAACAACAGAAAGATCATTTTCTTCAATGAAACACGTGAAGAATGAAATTCATAACAAGATGAAAGATGAATTTCTTGCCGATCGTTTGACCATCTTTATTGAAAAGGAATTTGCCAACAAAATCGACGTTGAGTTTGTCATAGATGAGTTTGCTAAGGTCAAAGAGCGTCGTTTTTAGTTAACGTTTTAGTTTCAAACATTGTATGTATTGTACTATTGTTTAAAACATATTACTATGAATTTTAATGGATTTTAATCATTATGCTCACACTATTGTCGCTTTTAAAATTTTTATCTAATGTTTTTAGTGTATAGTCGGCCCAGGGTAAATATCGGTCCTGGCTACGCCCCTGTGAGATTCCATTGCACTGCGAGAGAGAAGATGGACGGTATGGCGGCGAGGGTGGAGAAGCAGGTGCTGCTCTTCCACTGCGTAGAGATGGAAGACCTGGCTCGCAACGTTGCTTCACAATCTCCTTCTATTCAACTACAATCCATTAACTGGAGGTCAGTCCACACTCATCTTCTCTCTTACCCTATTATTACCATTATCCCTTCCATCAAATTCTTGTTTTGGGCTATTCTTTTGCCGTAAAGTTTCAATCTTTAGTGGAAATTGATTGATGGTGGTGAATGTTGATACGAACCCAAGATTTCTTCTCTCCTTTTCAATCAATAGAAAGCTAATTTACTTAAGAACATCAGAGAACTCCACTTTTAAGCAAATGTGATGCGCTCTATTATTTATACTTTGCACATTTCCGTGTTGAAAAAATTATTATAGATCTGTCACTACATTTATTTAATGTTGGCATGTTTTGACCAAAGTTTAAAAAGTGTAATAGATGAGCCTCATAGTGCACCATATTGTGTTAAAAGTGCATGGTTCTCACGTTCTCATGTTAAGCATGGTTATTATTGGAACCACTCCCTATATATAGAGTCATTCTCCTGTCCAGCACTTTTCTGTCCGAACGACGTCCGAACACCGCCGTTTGGGGTGGTTCTCGACGGAGTTTTTTGATGAAATTTTTTGAGCATGTTCCTCGTCAAGTCTAGTTTATCCATACAAAATTTCAGCTCAAAATTCGATTAGGAAGGCAGTCAAATAATTCGTTGAAGTTTACTGAGCCAAATTATACATAGAAAAACACAGTTAACTTCATAGAATTATTTGACTGCCTTCGTGATCGAATTTTCTGCTGAAATTTGGTATGGATAAACTAGACTTGATGAGGAACATGCTCAAAAAATTTCATCAAAAATTCCACCGGGAACCGCCCCAAACGGCAATGTTCGGACTGCGTTTGGACCGGGAGGTGCTGGACTTGAGAATTTCTATATATATATATATATATCTTGAAAGGGAGAGGCGGAAAGGATATAATTGTTAAATTGTAAGTTAAAGGTACTTCTTTGTCTTGTGAGATGGTAATTTGCTTGTATAAAATTTTCATTGGCGAGACTACGTTGTAAAGTGGGAATATGATGCATCAAGTAAATGAAGCAGTAAATCTTTATTCAATGACTTGTGTTTGTTACATTGTTTATGCGACTCCAATATAGGTGCAAAAAATCTTCAAGTGGAAATTAAACTAAGAATACCTGAAAACCTTAATGTACCATTTGGTCCATTCATGTTAAAGATGTTGTGTATGTAACCTTAATATAGCTGCAACAAATCGTTAAATGGATGGGCTAAATCTTAAAAGTGATAAATTGAACTGCTCGCCCTTAATGAGTAGGGATACCGAGTTCATTAAGGGCAAGTTAGTTAGTTCACCCCATTCCCTTGCCACTTCTTTTATATGACTGACTGTGAAATATAGTTATAACCTTTTGGGTTGTCAACACCTTATGCTTCACAGGAGTTTTGATGATGGCTTTCCCAATCTTTTTATAAACAATGCACAAAACATTAGAGGACAGCATGTTGCATTTCTGGCATCTTTCAGCTCACCAGCAGTGATCTTTGAGCAGCTCTCTGTCATATTTGCACTCCCAAGGCTTTTTGTTGCTTCTTTCACGTTGGTGTTGCCTTTCTTCCCAACGGGTTCCTTTGAGAGGATGGAAGAGGAGGGGGATGTAGCCACTGCATTTACTATGGCAAGAATATTGTCCAATATTCCCATTTCAAGAGGTGGTCCCACCAGCTTAGTCATCTATGACATCCATGCCTTGCAGGTTCCTTTAACTAATTAAGCTGCATATTCAATATAGGTTATCTACTTTGAAGGCATTTCTTGATTCTACAAAAATTAGAATATTTACTTATTCTTGCTTAGAATATCGATTTCCGTGAGGAGTAATAATACTTTAAAACATGAACTATAGTTCTAGTTCTGTTACAGAAAGTGCACACTACACAGTAATAACTACTCCGCAATAATAAATATTAATTAATTAATTAATTTTGTAATAAACTTATTCTTTCTTAACAATTTTTTTTTCTGTCTTTGCAGTATTATTTCTATCAAATTCTTCTCTTCATGGTCTGTTAAGCATACAAATCAATTACTCCTTCCGTCCCCAAATTAAGCTCATAGTTTGACTCGTGCGGCCTTCAAAATCGACACTTTATCTTTTATATTTAAGATTGTATAATCTACGTAGTATAATAAATTGACATTTCAATAATATGTACATCCTTTGTCCCACTATCTTTGTCCCATTTTTTTCTCAGACCGTCTCACTAAATTTTTCCCGCATCATATTCGGTAATATTTGTGTGACTCTAATCCATTCTTACTTTGTTTACACTTTACCAATTCAATACCAACCACGTAATTCTCACTCTCAATAACCGTACTACTCCCTCATGTCCAAATCTTCGAGGCATAGAGGTTGTATTAAAATAATTTTTCAAAAGCATATACATGTTTTGAAATAATACGGAGCATACTTTTTGGATAATTAACGGTCAAAACTTACAAAGTTTGACTCTAAAAGTCAAAACATGAACTTAATTGTTGGACGAGCTTAATATAGATTTTGGTCCAAAGGCTTATCCTGCTATCATAATAAGGTAAGGATGTTTTTACTTGGACTGTAATTCGTCCCAGACCAGACCAGTTCAGACCAGACCAGACTTGGATAGTTATAAAAATACAAAGAGACCAGACCAGTTCAGACCAGACCAGACCAGCAAATACAGTCCAAGTAAAAACATCCTAACTATGGCTATTCTCACCTCATTAACTATTATAGTGTGCTGAAGGGACATACATTCTTGGTTCTTTTTTTATACAGGAAAGGTTTTACTTTGGAGACCTAGTTTTGCCTTTATTTGAGACTGGAATTCCATTATTAAAACAACGTCTTCTGAAGCTTCCAGAACATGATAAAGTGGGAATTCGACACTACTTTTTCATTTGTTTCATCAAATACTTGCAGTTCGCTTCAAATTATATTTCGTTTACATCTTTGTTATTAATTTGGCAGATAGTTGTTGCATTCCCAGATGATGGAGCTTGGAAGCGGTTTTACAAGCAATTCAACAACTACCCTGCTGTTAGTCTTATATATTAAACTTAATGTTGATCTTTTTTCTTTTTAATCTGTATTTTGTTTTTCTATAGTTGTACTATATAGTACGTTTGGTGTATCTGTTTCTTACATTTATTCTATATTTTAAAAACATAGGTTATATGCACAAAGGTTCGAGAAGGTGATAAGAGAATTGTCAGGCTAAAAGAAGGTAATCCTGAAGGTTGTCATGTGATCATCGTTGATGATTTGGTGCAGTCTGGAGGTACTCTAATTGAGTGCCAGGTAATCGCCCTTTCAAATTATTCCTCACTAAAGTTTGAATCACAGTGAACGGCTATGGAGTTCTGCTTGGCTTTGTATGTGCATGAGTCATGTAGGGAAAGATCTTGTATTATAAGATACCACCCAAGGTTAGTCCTTGTTTTGCTAAGGTGGATCTTGAGTGGCATAGGTGAGGCCCAGACGCCCAATAAGAGGATAGCACCTGCCATTAAGACAATCCACCGTTACCTTCTTGGATTGATTTTCTTATTTCGAGTATCCCGTGTCACTTTTGTCCATTAGGATTAACTCTAGAAATATTGACATATTGACAAGTATATTATTGAAATAAAGAAAAAGCAAAAAAGCGCGACTTTTGATATGCATCAACTATAGTATTTTTACAATGATATAAAGTGTATTGAGTCAAATTTTGTTATCCCTTCAGATATAAGGTGTATTCAGCATTTATATTATACCTCACTCTTGAGGATCTTTTCATGGTCTAGAGTAGGTTAATTCGACATCTTATTTGGGCCCTCATTGATTTTGCTAGAAAGTGTTGGCAGCCCATGGTGCAGCAAAGGTGAGTGCTTATGTCACCCATGGTGTTTTCCCTAAGCGGTCGTGGGAACGCTTCCTGCACAAGGATGGAGGTAATAGATTTGTGTGCTTTCGTTTTTCTAGCACCATTGTTTCAAGTCTCTCATCTTAGTTTTTTAACTGCAACTGCTGTGCTCATTCAGGAGGCTCAGAGAAAGCGTTCACCCACTTTTGGATCACCGATTCGTGCCCATTCACTGTAAATGCCATTGCCAACAAAGCTCCATTTGAAGTGTTAAGTCTGGCTGGATCTATTGCTGATGCTCTTCAAATATGAATGAATACAACCAGCTTAAAGTCTTAAACGTTTGCAACTGGAGTAGGAGTCCAGGAACTGTGGACCTTGCTATTTTCTTTCACTCTCCTTAATTAATCTCTTCTTTTTATGGATCTTATTTTACGCTGTAATAAGTTAATATATGCACTTACTAGTCATTAACCGTTGGCTTGGCTTCCCTAACTTCCATAGTTCCTGGGTAGTGTAGTTTTACATCCAGTTGCTTATAATTTTTCTTCTGCATATGAAGTATTTTCACTTCGTTGTGCTCAGTGTATTTCTTTGTTCTGTTTATTTTCTTCGTTTTGGGTACTCTGGCGTTCAGCACTTTTTATAACACTCATCTTACATTCTTACAGATCAGAAATTCAGAATCTTATTTTGTGGAATCTTTTAATGTAATAACAAGTCTTCATCCAGTTATCCAGTACTATCATCCAGTACTATATAAAAATACATTTATACTTCACATAAGAATTAGGTTTTATATGTTTTATAGAGCAAACAAATACACGGATTTGTAAAAATTATTAAATCCATTTACTATGATGAGAGTATGAAGGCCTGGAAGAAGTTGCATATATACTGTATAAAATTTACTCTATAATTAATAATCTCTTGATAGAACCCTGGTAATCGAATACTCCAAACAATATAGAAATCAACTAGGAAAGTAGAAGAACTGATCGAGAACTTTATTAATCAAGAACAGATCACCAAAGTATACAAGGCTTCCCAAATCATTCGAGATGTCCAATCTCTAGCACCTAATATCAACATAAATAAAAGCCTCCTAATTCTAGGTATTATTATTTTATAGTAAATGTCCACCTAGGGGTAACAACAACGAACTCACTAGTTAGTTAACTTCTACCGCCTTCTTTGTCTTCCTTTGATAGACTTTATTAAAGTATTCAATAGGCTGCTGCACCACGTGCCTATCAATACCCCCCCTTCCTCGGAAATTCACCTTGTCCTCAAGGTGAAAGTTTGGGAAGTGTTCCTTCATGATTTGCAATGAATCCCAAGAATCCTCGAAATTAGGCAGATCTTTTCAGTGTACAAGCACTTCAGTTTTCTCTTCTTTATTGACCGTTGAATTCAATATCTCTTCAGGCATCACCTATAATTCCAATTCTTCATTGATACATTTAGGTAGAGGCTGATAAACATTGATAGGTGAGATAGCCTTCTTCAGCAGTGAGACATGAAATACAAGATGTATTTTACTGTCGTCTGGGAGTTTAAGCTTAAAAGCTACAAGACTAATTTTGCCAACTATCTCAAATGGGCCATAGTATCTTGGGCTCAATTTCTGGTCTATCCTCTTAGCTAAATTCCTTGGCTTGTAAGGCTGGATCTTCAAATAAACCTTGTCCCCAATCTCCATCAAAACCTCCCTCCTATGCTTGTTGGCCTGCTATTTCATTTGATTCTGAGCCTTTTCCAAATTACCCTTCAGTTCATCTAACATCACATTTCTATGAGTAGTTAGTTGGGACACTTCTTCCACAACTGTAAGGGTTGCATTCCCTCTAATAACAGTAGGAAGGTCTTGTCCAAATAGGGCTTTATAAGGTGTCCGTTTAAGGGATGTATGGTAATTTGTATGATACCAAAATTCAGCCCAATGCAACCATTTTGTCCACTCTTTTGGTTTTCTTCTTGTTAAACATCTCAAATAAGTCTCCAAGCATCTGTTGACTATCTCAATATGGCCATCAGTTTGAGGATGGTAAGCAGTATTGTACCTTAACTGAGTTCCAACCATTTTGAAAAGTTCAGACCAAAATGTACTCAGATAAACAATATCTCTGTCACTTACAATGGTCTTAGGAAAACCATGTAATCTTACCACCTTCTTTGTAAATAATTCTGCCACTTCCCTGACATTAAATGGATGAGAAAGAGCCAAGAAGTGAGCGAACTTGGTCAACATTACCACAATGATCAATATAGTGTCCTTCCCCTGAGATTTAGGTAAACCCCCTATGAAATTCATACTAATGGCAGTCCAAATGCTATTTGGAATAGGTAGAGGCTGCAGCAATCCAGCTGATTTCAGAGCTTGGTATTTATTTATCTGGCAGGTAGGACACCCATCCACATACTTCTTGATATCACCTCTCATGCCCTGCCAATAAAACAAATATGAGATCCTATTCATAGTCCTAAAATAATCTGAATGTCCTCCAAGTGCAGAATCATGATATTCCTTCAAAATTTTGGTTACTCTAGAGGACTGTCTTGGTAGTTACAGCTTCTTTTTGTAGTTAACAACCCATTTTTAATTGAAATTATGAATACTGGCCTGGTTGAGAAATCACATTCTGAAGGAGTTCTTGATATTTAGGATCTGAATTTAGTTCTTCCTGTAATCCTTCCCATTCCTGACAAGTAACAATAGAAAGGATTGTAAGGTGGGTCTTCTGGGAATGCATCTGCAGCTCTGTTCTTCACACCCGGTTTATATTTGATGGTGAAATTGTATCCCAACAGTTTAGAAGTTCATTTCTGTTGCTCTTCACCCATCACCCTCGGATCAGTAAGAAATTTTAAGCTCTTTTGATCAGTATGAACCTCAAATCTTCTGCCATGCAAATAAGGTCTCCATTTCTGAATTGCTAAGACAATTGCCATAAGTTCCCTTTCATAGACAGATGTGTTCTGATTTCTCTTAGATAATTCCTTACTCATATAAGTCCCCTCTTGCATTAGGACTGCCCCAGACATGTCCTAGATGCATCAATTTCTACAATGAATAATTTATTGAAATCAGGAGCTGTTAATACCGGTAAAGTAGCCATGATCCTTTTCAATTCTTCAAAGGCACTGGTAGCATGCATATCCCAATGAAAACTATCCTTTTTCAGAAGTTGTGTAAGGGATAGTGCAATCTTGCTATACCCTTTCAAAAATCTTCTTTTAATATCATGTTACCCCAAGTAAACCCCTCAATCCCTTCGGATCTTTGGGTTATGGCCAATTAACTGTTCGGATATTGATGTAACATACCTCGAAATACAACATCAGAAGTTTAAAATTTTCACAAACAGATCTTCCCTGATTATGACAAAACAACGAATATAACAATAATAATAGATCTGAGTTAGAACTTACAGATCTTCCAGCTTACTGGTGATATCCTTGACCTTAGGTATCCACATGATTTCTCCTTTCCGAAAGAACGGTTAAATCTCCCATAGAGAAAGACTAGAAAATCTTTTCGCAAGGATATAAACTGGTAATACTGAATCTAGTTAATAATAATACCTATTTATTTAATATTAAATACATCTTATTTAAGTATAATAAATCTAATTTATCTTACTTAATTAATTCTATCAAATAGAACTCTCTTTCAACATTATGAATTAAATATATTTTAATCTAATTAATATTTGATCCATTTTTTTAGTATTATGAGTTAAATATTATTTAATTCAAATAATATTTAAATCGTCCTAACAATTCAATCGGAAGGTATAATCACTTGTTGTGTGACCCATAGGGTCTTGTATATTAAACACTAATCAAATTAAGGTCTTAGCGAATCCTAGACCATTCTCTAAACAAACTTAATATACAAGGACGTTTGCGAGGACTATTCAAATTCCCTGTAATATAGAGTTCATAGTGATACGATACTTTCATTGAACAAACATTCAACTAAGTCTAGAATTTGATATTGTGTCTATTCCAATAACTTAGTCTCGGTCTCTCAATCTTTCTAGATGAACCATAATGATCACATTCAATATCCAAAATGAATATATATCTTTGTATGGGTCAATGACTTTATGATCCATCTACATATGAGAAGTAAAATGTTCTCTCTTAATATATTACGAGAAATGAATCATTCGTGGCTCAACTGCTACTCCATGTGCTTCGTGATGCACCCAACACATGTCGTATCTACCTCGATTGGAGTGTAAGCATCAATCATGGTCAAAGCCTATTAAAGTATTCAAGCACGCCTGCACCACGCGCCTATCATCTCTCTGCACATGGGCGGAGTTAGGGGTGGGCCAACCTAGACCATGGCCCACCCCAAATTTTAAAAATGGCTTAATTTTTAAGGTAACAATTTTCGTGTAAATTTTTTTCTAAAAATATTATTTGTACCGGCTCAGTCCAGCTCAGTGCCCTGACTCCGCCCCTGTCTCTCCATACACCATTATCGTTTATTACATTACACCTCTTATACGTAAATCCAAGATTATATAGTGTTGTATACTTGTAGTCTTGACCTATCGTATGTAGTAATCTAGTATTTTTACTAGAAATGCTTGCTCTATACAACGATTTTTTTGGATTTATAGCTGACTTTTCAGCCCAATGCTTTTTGGACAAAGAAGTTGGTTAAACAAGGCATTTCGGACATGATAATTTTTCTAGAATATAATAAAACGAATATAATATAACGAATAAAAATAATCCAAGTAATACATAAACAGTTAGCTGAGGACATGATTCCAGAATCCAGAGACCAACTCTAAAGATGTAGGGTCTATTTGTATTTTTATACACATAAAGTGTGAGAATAATGTGGAAGCGTACCCTCAATGGTAGCCCCGGCGGTAGTATTATTTATAATAAGAGAGTCCCAGATACATCAAGATTCCTACTGTAATTAGATAACCTAATTAATATTAATAAATACATTATTACACACCCTCAAGCTGTGCAGTGGAAACAATGCGCAGATTGTCCCGAAGAAAAGTAAATCACTGGGGAGAGACATTTGGTGAAGATATCTGCCAACTGAAGCTGAGTAGGAACAAATTTGACCTGTAAATAATCATGGGCTACCCGTTCACGAACAAAGTGATAGTCAATATTAATGTGTTTGTTGCGAGCATGCTGAATGTGGTTTGCAGATAAGTAAGAAGTAGAAACATTATCACACAAGTGCTGAACCGGTTTGGCGATGGAAATGCCCAAGTACCCAACTCAAAGAGTATGGAACGAATGTGCAGAGTGTCTTGAACAGTGTAGGCAATGGCATGATATTTCGCCTCCGTAGAAGAGCTAGAAACTGTGGGTTGTTTCTTGGACTTCCATGACACCAAATTTGGCCTAAAAAATATAGTAAAACCAGACGTGGATCTGCTGCTGTCTGGACATCCTCTCTAATCAACATCGGAATAAGCTAGTATAGCGGGTGCCGTAGTGCTGGGCTGAAGAAGTATCCCAAAATCAGATGTCCCCTGTAAGTACCTGAAAATACGCTTAACAGCCAAAAAATGTGTAGTACGGGGAGCATGCATAAACTGAAAAACCAGGTGAACAACGTAAGTAATATCAGGTCGAGTCATGGTTAAATATTGTAATGCTCTTACCATACTCTGATACTCAGTGGGATCTGCTAATAACTCACCATCAGTTAGTGAAAGCTTGGTACGAGTGGGAAGATGAGTACGAACAGGCTTCAGAGTATGGAGATGGAAGCGAAGTAACAAGTCAGACACATATTTATGTTGGGACATAAACAGACCACGGGTGTATGAATAGCTTGAACACCAAGAAAAAAATGCAGTGCACCCAAATCTTTCATAGCAAATGATTTATTAAGACGCGATATAAAGGAATTAATGAAGGATGGGGAGTTACCTGTAACAATGATGTCATCAACGTATAGAAGAAGATAAATAATGTGTGAGCCATGGTTATAAATAAACAAAGAATTATCTGAACGACTACAAATAAAGCCATGCATTAGCAGAAAACTACTAAAGCGATAAAACCATGCACACGGTGCTTGTTTAAGCCCATAAATAGCTTTGCGGAGACGACAAACATAATGAGGAAACTGAGGATGAATGAATCCAGGGGGCTGATGCATATAAACCTCCTCCTTAAGGTGACCATGAAGGAACACATTTTTAACATCTAACTGGCATATTTGCCAGCCAAAAGAGACAACTAAAGTGAGGACAAAGCGAACGGTCGTGGGTTTGACGACCGGATTGAATGTTTCCGAAAAACCGACACCTGCCTGTTGATTAAAACCTTGAGCCACCAGATGCGCCTTAAACCGCTCAATGGAATCACCAGAATTAAACCTTGTTTTATAAATCCATTTTGACCCGACCACATTCTGACTAGTAATGGGAGGAACTAATTCCCAAGTATTATTGTTAATAAGTGCATTAAATTCCTCGGCCATGACCGCTCTCCATTTAAAATCTTTATTAGCCTGAGAAAAACAAGATGGATCACATGCCGAAATATCTGTTTTTAAATTAAAAATTTGTTTCGGTTTAAAAATTCCAGATTTGGAACGGGTTTGCATGGGATGATGATTTAAAGGAGGAGGGTTGGCGGCTGAGGGAACTAAATCAGTGGATGTGGTGGATGGTTTGGCTGAAGGGGAGGAAGGCGGAGATGAGGGTTGGCTGTTTGGACCGGAGGGCATGGTGTACGAGGGGGAGGGGGAGGAAACTTGTGGACTTTGAGTGCGGGAGGAGGGGGAAGTAGTGGGCTGGGGAATTAGGTGAGTCACGGGAGGAGGGTCCAGGAAGGGAAGCTGGGGTGGGGAAGGTGTGGTGGGTACTGTCGTGGGGGTGGTGGGTGAGGTCATAGACGACGTAACGGGCCAGGTGAGTGTATCAACGGAAGAACCCGTGGAACTAGATATGAGCTCATAGTACGGAAAATGATTTTCATGAAAACGCACATTCCTATTAATGTAGATTTTGCCAGTTTTAGGATCCTACCAACGATATCCTTTATATTCAGGAGCATATCCTAAAAAGACACACAGTACCGATCTAGGTGATATCTTATTGGCAGAGGTGACATTAAAATTAGGAAAACAAGCACATCCAAAAACGCGCATAAAGGAGAAGTCTGGAGAATAATGAAATAATTTTTCAAAAGGAGATAAACCATTCAAATTAGGGGAAGGGAGGCGATTAATAATATAGGTAACGGTGTAAACAGCGTCAACCCAGAATTTAGCCGACATATTTGCTTCAAAGAGCATAGTTCAGGCTAATTCCAAGAGATGACGATGTTTACGTTCAGCAACCCCATTTTGCTGGGGAGTGTCAAGGCAAGATTTTCTAAAACTGAATGTCATTCTGTAAAAAAATGGTCCGCATACCAATATTATCAAACTCATCCCCTCCATCACTTTGAAAAATTTTAATTTTATGTTCTAGTAAATTCTCCACCATTAATTTAAAATTGTGAAAGTGACGAATGGCTTCATCTTTACGGCGCATTGGATACAACCAAGTAAATCGAGAAAAATCATTTATAAAGAGAACATAATATTTAAAACCAGATTCAGAGAAAACAGGAGATTGCCACACATCTGAATGAATCAAATATAACGGTACTGTAGACTTATGAAAATTTTCCTGAAAAAGGTAAACGTTGAGATTTGCCTAAACGGCAAGAAATACAGTCATGAGAAAAATTTGATGTGCTAAAAATAGAGCCAGATTTCTTGAGCCTATCTAAAATGCGACTTCCACAGTGACCCAACCGTCGATGCCAGACCGGACCAGGTGCAACGTGAGTACTAAGGGCAAGAGGTGTGGACAAAGTAATCGGGTAAACCCCACCATCACTGGAAGCCCGCAGAAGAACCTTCCCTGTGGGTATGTCCTTTACAAAAACAGAATTTTTATCAAAAATCACTAAACAATTATTATCGGCACATAATTTCTGAATAGAAAGTAAATTATATTTAATCTGAGGAACATAATAGACTGATTTTAAATGGAGAGACCTAGACACAGTGGATAAAGATACATTACCAACAGTAACAACCAGTAAATTAGACCCATTAGCAACTGTGACAGAAAGTGACCCGGACGAAGAGGATTTATTAGACAAAATACCTTCATGAGGGGTCATATGAGCAGATGCACCGGAGTCGGGGAACCATACGGCAGATGTGGATTCACCGGTAGACACGGCTAATGCAGGATTGGATGGTTGAACAAAACGGGAAGAACAAGTAACAGCAGAGTGACTTGGAGTCTTGGAGAATGACATATTTGGCAGACAACCGGAGGAGGAATAGTACCAAAACTATGCTCAAAAGACGGGGAGCCTGCATATGCACAATTAGTAACAGAAGTAGATAAAGCAAAACTAGTATAATACCGTGACGCAACAGAATTATCTACAACTGTACCTGGCTGTCCCGGAGGCTGATATGGGCGCCCGCCAAACTGTCCATGCAGGTAGGGCGGAGGAACACCATAAGCCGGAGGGCCACCAAACTGTCCACCGCCAAAAGAAGCAGGCTGGCCGTAAGCACGGCCTCCTCGGCCATGACCTCCCCGACCCCTCTGACCGCGTCTGCCACCGCGGCCTCGCTGGCCGTACTGCTGCTGCTGGGGCGCTGGTCCTCTAGGTGCTGCGGCAGGTTGTTGAGCAGCAGGTTGAGGTGCAGCGAACGCCGGAGTCCCCATGAGTTGTTCTTGACGTCGTTGAAATAGTAACCATTGTTCTTGGTGAAAAAGCTTGTTGCATAATTTCTCAAAAGTAAGGCCCTCCGGGAATAAAGTGAGTGGAGTAACAACAGACTGATAATCAGGACCCAAACCAATGAGCATTTGCTCTAGTAAATCTTTCATGGGAATTGGGGAATTTATGGCAGTCAGGGCATCAGTAATATTTTTAATTTCTCGGAGATACTGTTCCATGGATTGTGATTCCTTTTTACGCAAAGTAGTAAGCATGGTTTTAAGCTCCATGGAATGAGCTAAACTAGCTGACATAAACTGAGATTCCATGCGATCCCAAATCAAACGAGCATGTTTTATAGTATGTACTTCTACCAAAACATCACGGGAAAGAGTGGTAAAAATCCAAAAACGTACAGTTTGATCCAATTTGAGCCAGTAACAATATTCGTTATTCATAACTTGACAATTTTGAATGTTCATGAATCATGACATGCATGGGAGGGGTCACAATGGTTCCATCCAAAATACCAAGTAAACTATGAGACACCAAAAAGGATTCAAACTGCGTACGCCAAGGTAAATAATCTTCCACCGCATTTAATTTAGTAGTAACTATATTCGTAATATTCATGGCAGAAAAACCCAAAGATTGAGAGAGGACTGCCAAGGAAGAATTGCTGGAATGGCAGAATGCCCTGGGGAGCCGAGAAGGGTGGAGCCGGCGAAAAAGCCTCCTGGAGCGGCAGTGAAGGTCGAATCAGTCGCTGCCACTGGTTGTTCATCTGCGTTGGAGGAGTGCGACGGAGCCGGTGGTAGAGATGAGATTACCGGAGTCGATGGAGACCACGTAAAAATCGGCGGAACCCGGTTGCCAAAGGTTAAAGGCGGAACCGTGGATAGAGCCGGCGAGCTGGAGAAGGATTGGGCAGACATCTCGCTCTGCGTCGTGCTGGGAACGGAAAACGCAGCAGTGGGCGCAGCCGTGGTCGGCGCTGACATGGCAGTCGAAGGTGCTGCGGTTGACATGTGTGCGGAAAAAAAATTAACCCTAAGGCTCATATACCATGTGAGAATAATGTGGAAGCGTACCCTCAATGGTAGCCCCGGTAGTATTATTTATAATAAGAGAGTCCAAGATACATCAAGATTCATACTGTAATTAGATAACCTAATTAATATTAATAAATACATTATTATAAAGTTTACACTTCTACTGTTGTAGATGCCATTTTACACAATCATCAGTAGTTAAGGTTAACCACTTAACCTCAAAGTAAAAATGCATAAAGGAGGGATGAGATTGTACATTAATAAGCAGCCATCAAAGCATATGACATAATAGACACACTTGCAAAGTCAAATGCTTCTTAGACTTATTATTCTATTACAGTTAATTAAATACCAAATTTTCTAATGCCTTGGGAGTGTCATATATACAAAAACAAGACACTGCCCAGCACACATGCGATCAAATCGCTTCCACTGTCCCCATTAGTAACTGCTGTATGTACATATAGAATAAGACATTAACAGTTAGAACCCATTGGCGTCGTTTTCAAGAGTTGAAGTTTTGCTGCTTCCAGAGTTTGGCTTCTCTTCAATAGAATCTCCCGAATAAGATCCATCAAGATGGCGGATGAATATATTAAGGTTGCTGGACAGCAAAGGTTCCTGATTTCTCAAAAATGACCAAGTTAAGTGTCAAGGACACTACAAAAGGAGTATTATTGTGAACTCGTTTGGTGAGCGGCCTGAGCGGTATTGGGTTGAAATGGCTGAATTCTCTTAAAGGAAAAGCATTACGTAAGATCCATTTGAGCCAAATCAATAAGTAGCCATTTGATAGCCCCTTTTTTGGCTTAAAACAAGAACCAATTTATTAGGCTGCATGCTCAATAATGAAAAGTAGGGCAAGATTTAGTTGTTTTATGAAGTTAGAAATGGATCATTTTGGCCCTCTTCCGTATTTTAAATTCAATATTATCAATAAAATACATTTTAAATATTTCTTTTCATAGTTCATCCATTTCCGCCACTTCATCAAAATCACTTGCAACTTCAGAACCTTAAGTCAAATTCACCTCTTACCCACCGGGCTCTAAGCCAAAAGCAGCTGAAGTGTAGTACCAAATGGAGTCTAAGTCATTAAATAAGGTAAATTTCATTCAATGTTAATGTTTACCTCTTCAGCAGGATTATGGCCCTCTGACTGGATTAAAATAGGACGGCACCATTTGTCTTCATTCATTAAGCTAGAGTTCTGAAAATGAGCAACTAAAGCAGCTTTTCCCTGGATTCTTGCATAAGCTAATGAGGCAACTTTCTCACTATTAAACTTCTCCCACTTCTTCCCATTGAATACCTGCACAAATAGTTCGTGTTAAAGTAAAATATCTATCATACTCATTCAAAAGGGACCCCACTTGGTATGTATTGGGAAAAAGATTAACCTCATAGAAAGAGATAATGCTTTGAGGAGAGACCATATTGATGAAGGCATACCCAACATTGCATTTATTCTGGAGCCAAAAGAGTGGAAAAATTACCATATTGGGTTCAAGTAAAAAGATTCCCAAAAAAATGAATGCTGAAAAAACTCACGCTTACCTTGAAATCGATTGGCAAATAGAGGAAATCATATGAATTTTTATGGGTCTCATCAATTGCAGCAAGTAGCATCTTTGAAGTATACCTTTAAACAAGGAAAGTAAAAATGTGATAGGGCTTGTTTGGTCTAGAGGTTTTGGAGGAGATGGGAGGATCTTTGTTTTATTATCTGCTCCCTATTTGTTGGTCATAGACTAGAAAATAACTACCGAGCATATGTTTAGTTATACCATGTGTTTGTAAATAATATTTTTTGTCCCCTTTCTTTCTAACCATTTCATGTTAAAATAAAGAATTTTCGCCATTTCTAGTCATTTGACTATAGTGTTAGTGACACTTTGGGTAATAGACTTTGTGCTTTTCCTGTCTAGTCCTTCGATATTGTGAGATAAACACTTCTAGACGTTGAATTTGAGTTTCTCCACAATTAGTCCTCCGATTATTACAAAATTGACACTTGATCTTTCAAATATTGATTTTTCTCCACATTTAGTCCTACGATTATTACAAAATCAGTGATAGGGCTGAAAGTGTTGCTTTCATAAAAGTCAAAGAACTAAATATGGAAAAACCTCAAAGAAAGGTGCCAAAAGCATCACTAACATAATAGTCGGGAGACTAAGTGGTAAAACTCTAAAAATAAATTATTGAAATAAATCAAACAAATCCCCTATCAAAAAATATGCTTATAGTCTGAGACCATGATGCTTACTTGTTAGGGATGTTCTTAATCATCAAAGTAGTTCTGGAATCTTCCCCTCTCGTTATCCTCTCCAAATCAAGCTGGTACTGTTTCTTGTTATCCAACTGGGTCCCGGTTTCCATCCTACGACCTCGACCGCGTTCAATCAATCCCTCACCATTACTTGATCCATAAGAACCACTTCCATAATATATAGGAATGTTTCTTGACAATGGCATCATTCTAGAAGCAGGAGAACCACTTTCACTAAAACCCCCACCCACAAAAGCAACACCCGCTGTATTCATGACATGGTTTCCATTATTATTATTATTATTAAGACTTGAGCTTATGTATGATGATGTATCGGGCGACTCGGGGTAAAACCCGAAATGCCGTTCCAGTGGAATTCCGGATGGTGCAGACCCCACATGACTGAGAAGCGGGCCCTGCCAGTGTGAATACGGTTTGCCCATTGATGATGTAGCAGACCCGGAGTTAATAGGCGGCGGACTTCCCCATAGAAATTGAGGACCAGAGAGCGTTCCAATTCCCAAGCTTGAACTTAGTTTTGTCTCATTGAACGCATGAGATGGTTGATTTCCCTGGCTAACCCTTCCAGTTTCTTTACCTATGGGTGCAATCTTTACAGGATTTGAGAGGATAGAGGCCAGCCCAGACAAATGATTGGAATTTACAGGACTGAGATTTCTTGAACTGGGAGATGGGCTGTAATTATGCAATGGATTGGGCTCAACTGGACTCCCAAAATTCGCCCAGCTTGCTGTTTTAAAATATAGTCAACATCCAGCTTATTATGTATCAAACCAGTCAAAATCACAATTCATGAAATAAAACTATCAAAAGTTATAAATACCTGGAGGAGAACTGCCAATTGGTGACCCGACTGGGTTCCTAAATGTTCTAACATCATCATGTTCTTGCTCGAGGCTCAATTGTTGCATCAAGCTAATAAATACCCAATATTAACAAAAAGAGTATATAATAGGATTATTAAATTGCATTTTCAAAAAAAATCAAACCATTGAAGTATTAATGTTTCCACATCTCTTGATGATTTCATTGGTTTCGTGAAAAAAATGTTTTCAAGTAAACAAAATAATGCAAAATTTATACTTTCGGCGGGCTCCGCCAGGTCGGCTAGGTTCAAGCTTAATCCGCTTCCCAGCAATGTCACTCCTATTTAACGCCTTAAGAGCTGCATCGGCAGCCCTGACATCATAAAACTCAATGAACTTATGGTGTCTCTTATGTGGTGTCTCCCTTATCTGCATTATATGTAAAAAATATTGCGTTTTGAATAGACATTTAATATCAGCCAAATATTGCAATACTAAACTTAAAGCAAAAAAGGTCACCTCTTTTACTTCACCATAAGTCCCAAATATTTGACAAAGGTCCTCATTAGATACAGATGGATCCAAATTGAAAACAACAAGAGTTCCTTGGTTAATGTCCTTCTCTGATGGATTCTCCTGTATGCAGAAACCACCAAAAATATCACACTCAAAAATCAATAGAACAACAACATTACCTCAGTGCCGCAAAGCACAGAGAGTCAGAGACTGTTTCCGCATCACTCAAAAATCAATATGCCAACCATATAAAAATTTAGTAATTATTATTTCTCTGAGATCATACCTTTGGAATCGAGAAATGAATATCAAGTTTTCTTCTCCTTAAAGGCTTATTTTGTAGAGAACGCATTGCAGTTCGAGCAGCACGAATATCATAATAAGATATCATCACAAACCCTCTGTGCTTACAAGCAGTATATAAAGTTCTTATATCTCCATATTGCTTCATGAACAGAAAACAAGACTTCAATAGCCATTCAACAATCAAGAACAGATGTGACATCTAATGTTGAGTTAGAAGCAATAAAATTATTAATTTTTGAACATAACTTAACCCAAAAAGGATTCCCAAAAGATGAGACTAACTTTAAACTTATATACTATACCCAAATTCGGTTGAATAAGCAATGCGGCTTCATCAACCCGAGCCGATTAAACAACTTAAAGGATTGACAAATGCTCCCAAACCAACCCTAAACGGGATAGACAGACCATTAAGTGGATGGGCTTCCCACAAACTGTTTTCAGATCGAGCCTTAATACCATGTTAGTGTATTTAACCCAACCCCAAAAAGATTTGAAAATTCTTCATCTGCAAAAAATTCTCTACGTGAAAACAAAGAGCCCCTCAAGAGAGAAGATTTGCCACACATGTAGACTAACATTGATCCCAGTAGACAACCAATGTGGGGACTCGAACAAAAACCGTTGGCAAATATAATAAGTACCTCAAATAGAGATCTTAATTCAGAGTCTTCTACATTACTGTTAATGTTTCTAACAAACAATGTCCTCGAAGGATGCTCTCCGTAGGGGTGTTCCCCAGCCACTGTCCCTATACTACCATTTAATGAGTAGCCATAATTCACAGTGCTGTTACTGCTTCCGGGAGACATACTTAAATTTGCAAAGCCATTAAGTAGATTATTTTGGAGCTCAGGTTCCATTTCAAAGCCTCCCCCACCAAAAAGATCTTCTTCTAATTCCAATTCTTCCAGCTGAGTGGGGAGCTCACCCAAATCAAAATCATCCATTACGCCTGCTAATAGCTCATCCTCATCTCCAGGTAGAACGCTTCCAGGTTGACTTGTTTTACCTTCTTCTATATGGAATTGACTGAAGCTAGCAGCACTATCATCAACTGACTTGTGAGACATTACTGCAGATTATCATTATTATTATCATGCAAAAAGTTGATAAGAAATACACATAATCCAAGAGGAAAGAAGGGATACAAAAACTTAAAAAATAAAGTATAAAAGTTGGGCAAATACCAATTTTAAATAAAGATTGAGCCATCAGAACTTTGAGAATCCTACTAACCCCTAAAAATTAACTCATGCAGGAAACACTTTAAACACTAATGCAAATGGGTACACTAGGACCAGTTGCAATGATAAAAATTCACATTAAAAATCCAATAAAATTCATCTCAAGTTATATATAGATTCTGAATTGATGATGTGTTTTTTTATATCACAACTACTCTTATCATCATTTATCGGTTTTTTCAGGTACCTAATAATGTTAGTATTTGCGTCTGCATACACGGCGTGTCCAAAATCATCTAATATTTTTTAAAAGGTTGAATTACTTTAGTCAGTTTAGGGGCTAAACATAACAGCTGAATAATCTAATGTCATCCAGGTTGAGGGTCAGTTTTGGCCATTTAGCCATGTGGAAGAACATGTACGAACATTTTTCATGGGGAAAAACCGGCAATGAGCTAGAGAACAAGCTTGCATCAGATGAGGTATGATATGCACCAGTTCCGAGGTGCATGGACCATGCATTTCCCACTTTCCCTGAAACGGTTGCTACTGTGAGCTTAAATGCCAAAATCGAAAAGAAAACAAAAATGCAAATATGCCACTGATGAAAGGTTTTAATAAGTAAAAGAAAATGAATAAAATACCTTGAGGGTCGTTTGAAACTTGGGTTTTGTAAGGCGACTCCAATTGCCACATCCTAAACAAATCAAACATACACACTAACAAATGCAGCATAACTTCAATAAAAGAAACACATCCAAGTATAAAGAGAAATAGTCACTTGAATGTAATAATAGCCCTGAAAACAAGCAATTTATGTCATCAATATTAAATGGCTAACTACGCAATTCGATGTAATAATTCCCCAAGGGTCAATTGACTTAGCCATAATGCACATGAAAAGATCTATTAGTCTGTCTTAACCAGAACGTACTTAAGATCAAGACTAAGATGCAATGGGTAATTCTTGATTTCTTTTTCTTGTTCCAAAAGGAGTAATTCTTACTCCGTATTTTATTTTCCCAGAAGAGTAAATGAGTAATTCCAAATAAAACTGGAACAAAATACATCAAATTTACTACTCCGTATCATCTATAGGCAAGAATCTAGCATAGAAGAATCAATTGACCGAATTCTCTACCACTTGGCAAACACATGTACTGTTGAATTTGACTCCACCGACATCAGTTTCCATACACAAAGCCCACCAAAAATCAGCAAAAAGGTCACAATTTTACAATCAGAAGGTCCAAAAACCAAAACCCACATCTGCAATCAAGTAAATCCAGAAAGATAGAAGACGGGATTCCAAAAATTCACATCTTTTATGTTCCCTTACCAAAACCCTTGCAAAGTTCATAGAAAACACAGTAGAAAATTCTGAGAAAAGCAGAAGAAAGAGAGAACGCACCTCATGGAAAGAGACAAATACGTCAGAAACTCTGAATATACTGTTAATGTAAATTAAAGAGACAGACACAGCAAGTCTTGAAGAGGGGAAGGAGGCGAAATTGTGTCGTGGAAGCAGAGAAATCGGTTTCCTATACTCCTATCATACTTCTCCCCCGGAAAACAAGTGTGGATAGAGGAAGCTATGTGTGAGAGAGAGAGAGGTCATGGAGAGAGAAAGCTGCTTTAGATATACTCCGCAGAACAGAAAAGAAACCCACAAACGAAGAAGTCCAAAAAGACGCACAGATCCAATAGGAAAGTGGAGTATGATTGGAGGAAAACTACTCAATCATCAACTATCTTTATTATCTGTGAGATAATAACTCTACAATAATAATTAATTAATACTCTAATAATGGTGTTGTGATAATAGTAATTAGGTGGGATAACAGGTATTGAAAGTCATAATTATTTGTCAATTTAGAAGGTGAAATTTGACTTTATATAATTAACTTAGGAATCTCCCAAATTGTAACCAATGATCCCAAATTATCATATGTCATATCGGAGAATAGTGATGGATAATGTGAATCATATTTTTTTGTGCCTGTTCCTTGGACGATTTCATGATGAAAGATGGATGAAATTGATAATGATGAAAGATGGATGAAATTGATAATGACTTTTTAAGTTATTTGTAAAATTTTAGATGATTAGAATTAGAGTGGATATCAATATTTTTATAGAAATATGTTGTCTCATTAAAAAAGAAACTATCAATATTAATTAGTAGTAAATTTTAGGTAGTCCAAATTAAAAAGAGAGGGGACTACGGAGTACAATATAATCCTACATCAAATTTCAATAAATTAAAGGGTAATCACTTGATATTCCAGATCATTCATTCTTAAAAGGAAAAATTCACACCAATAATCACACCTATTAGCCTTCTTCCATTATTAATCCCTTCAATGATTTATTCCAGATTAATCCAAATTAATGGGGTAAGCTTCCCAAAACACTCTGTTAACCTGAAGGGTAAGGATTAACCGGTAATTAAAATGCACGTGACCCGCATGTGACTAAAATGTTATCAGAAACGTGAGGCTCCTCTTCCATCCCTAAACTTGACCTGCAGCTTCAACGACGGAAAGAAGTCAGACGAGGACGACAGAGTATGACGAAGAAGACTGGATACCAGGTGATGGAGTATATGGCCCAGGAACCCCCGGCCCATAGACTCCTACTATTCTAATGGAGGTCCAATAGGCCCAGGAAGCACAGTAAGCCCAGGTCACGGCGTCCCAAGTACTAAGCAACCCACGTGGCGCACTAGGAGTGCCTTCGGCCCCCTGGCCGAAGGCTCTGATTCTTACAGGATGGCCAAATCAGGAAAACAAAGTTACTGGGAGAAAACGGCGAAAATCAGTAGCCCTCGGCACCTAGAGCCCTCGGCACTAAGGAGGTCCCCGGTACTCAGAGCCCTCGGCTAATCATCTACAGCCGAGGGCACCTTTTCCGACATAATATCCGCTCCACATGCGCAGGGATCACCGTACCAAGTACGACGTCCCATCCAACAGCCGCATTAAATGCGGCCACATGCGATTGCCAGCGCCAACCAGTTGAGGTGACCCCTCGGCCAATGGATGCTTGACACGTGTCCCTATCTGGCATTTATTACTACTATAAATAGCACCCCATCTCCCCATTTGTAACAGGAAGCAAATACGCTGAATACATTTCTAATATACTCTCTCTCTCTCTACTTACTTGCTCTGACTTCTCTCTAGTTATTCCCCGTAATAACCCCTCGGATAAGCTACCCCCCGGGTATACTATCCATCATCTGGTGCTCTCGTTGAGAGGTCGAATAATCAAGTAAGAAACCCTCCCCCTCGCCAAACACAAAACACCTAGCTAAAATGGTAAGAACAACTTGTGCCAACTCCAAGAACGTTGAGGACAGGAACCTGGCCCTCGGCGAAGTCGACGTCCCCGAAGCCTCTAACAGGGCTCCCGGGGGCGATGTCATCACCGGGTTGGACCAGACGGCTGTCGACCTACGCCATCAGATTCAACAGAATACCCCTGATGCCCGCCTCGGCATCGAGGCCAAGAAAAAGGATCGGAGCGAGAACCAAGTTAGCCCTCCGGTAATTACAATCGACGTACAATCGGCGTTTTCCGCCTTCATCCAGACGCTCACCCAGAATCCAGGTGCCTTCGGCACTTTGGTTCCCCTCCAGCCTCAGGTCGGGGAGAATGTCATGCCTCCCCCTCATCCACACCCCCTCGGGAACCCTGTCCTCCGGATTGGGAACGTCGAGGGGGTCGTGGCCCAAGATACGGCCTCCCAAGAAGTCCAGTCCCGGGGACCGCCACAATGTAAACAAAGAATAACTCCGGACCTCCGCCCTCAAGAGACTAGGAGGGGCGCAAGACCGCCGAGGGGTCCAAGACCGCCTCGGGGGGAAGGCGTTCCAGAGGCCTCAGGAAAGTGGCGGATCCGTCTCCAGGGCCAATGAAAGACGTCCCCCTCAGGACAAAGGCAAGGCACCTCTCCATGCCAATGACGCCCGCCACCAAATCAACCAGGCCCATTCGGCCCGTGTCCATTCGCAGGGGGCGGAGGCCCTCCCGAAGGACCCCCGGGATGAAATCATTGCGGCCCGCCACCAAAGCGCACGCCACCACTTCTGCCCCTCATACAGACCTCAAGTATGAGGCCATGTTGGCCAAGATGGAGGAAATGTAGAGGAAGATAACCGAGGGCTCAAGGGAACCCACCATACAGCTCCGGACCCGGACGCCATTTACCCCAAGGGTATTGGCAGCCCGGATCCCGGAAAAATATCGAGGGCAGCTCATCAAGCCCTACGACGGAAAAACTGACCCCCAAGAGCACTACAGCAGGTACCAAAACAGTATGATGATGGTGGGGGCATCAGATGAGTATTTGTGCCGCTGGTTCCTCTCCACCTTAGAGGGGCCAACCTATGAATGGTTCAATTGATTGCCCGAGGGTTGCATTGACTCATGGCAAGAACTCGCCCAACGATTCTTGACGCAATTTGCGGGAAGGCGCCGCACAAGAAAACACTTCTCCCACTTGCTGACAGTGAGGCAGAGGAAGGAGGAGACCCTTCGAGACTTCTTGGAGCGCTGGAGAACGGAGGCTGACAAAGTTGATGGCGCTGACGACGGGACCCTCCTGGCCCTCCTCCAAACGGTACTCCGCCCCGGGAACCTCTCAAGGAGCCTTATCATCGAACCCCCCCACGATTATATAAGGGCTCTACAGCGGGGGGATAGGTATGCCGAAGCCGAGGAGGTGGAGAAATGCCATCACATCCCCGATCAGCAACGCCCTCAGCCAGACGACAAAGGCAACCGGGGGCCGGGGGCTCCCTGTAATCAACCCAAGGATTCTGCCCCCTCCGGTGATCACCCCCGGCATGGCCAAGCCAAGCCCGGGGGAGGCTACAAGGGGAACCCGAGGGCTTGGGCACAACCTGTTCTACTGGAGCACCCTCGGACACCTTTGACGCATCCCGTCATCGTCATTCTTGATTTCGCTGAGGAGAGGGGCCTGGTGGAGCGAGATTCCCGCGCACCCCCGGAAGTATATGCCATCAATCCAACCTACCCCTACTGTCACTTCCACCGGCATCAGGGGCACAGAACTGATGACTGCCAGCAGCTGAAGACGGCCATCGAAAGATTAATACAGGCGGGCCATTTGTCCCAATTTATTCAAGGCCCTCAGCAACAGGGGCCCCCTCATCAAGGGCCACCCCGAGGGCAAACTGCGAGAGCAAATGCATGGGTCAACCCCAACACCACCCCCCTCGGCAAGAAGAGGGAGATTGGGAACCTGGAAGAAGAGGAGGAGTACCCCCGGTACCAAGAAAAGAAGCGCCACATCCTCATGATCACCGGGGGAAATACCGGGGGTGACTCTACAAGTCAACGAAAGAAGTGGGCTTAGTCGCTTTACGTGGGGGAAGTCACTCATATGCCCCCATTAAAGCGGCTGAGGGAGGAACCCATCACCTTCACTAACGTTGATCTCCCCCCAGTGTCCTCCCTACACAGGGATGCCCTCGTCATCCGCACAGAGATCAATGACACTATAATTCACCGAACTTACATTGACACAGGCAGCTCTGTCAATGTAATGTACCTCAGTACCTTCAGAGAGCTGCATCTGTAGAAGGGGTCCCTTCGGCCCATCAAGACCCCTCTTGTCGGCTTCACTGGCGACACCATTGATTCCGAGGGGGTTATAACCCTCCCGGTACTCTTCGGCGACGGGCTTCATAGAGCCAAGCTCGAGGTGGAGTTCGTCGTCGTCAACATCGACTGCGCCCACAATATCATCCTTGGCCGGCCAGCCCTCGAGGACCTCGAGGCCGTCATCTCCGTGAGGCACCTCTGCCTCAAGTGCTCAGCCGAGGTGGGAATCGGTTACTCAAAGGGGAACCAAAAACTTGCCCGCGCTTGCTACCTTCAAGTAACAAAGAAGGTTAGCAAGACGGAGTTCCGCGTTGACACCATCACCGGAACTGTGGAAGCGGAAGAAAGGAGGCCGAGGGCTGAACCAGCCGAGGAGGTAGAAGATTTCGCGATCGATCCGGCCAAGCCGGAGAGAGTCGTGAAGATTGGATCCAAGCTCCCTGAAGACTTGAAGACCGGCATCATCAGCGCCCTCCGCGCCTACTCCATCGTTTTTGCATGGGGGGCGGAGGACATGTCGGGGATCAGCCGAAGGGTCATCACCCACCGCCTCTCGGTGGACCCTTCGGCCAAACCAGTACAACAGCGGATGAGACCCCTCTCAGCCGAGAGGAGGGACTTTGTGAAAAAGGAGTTCGACATGCTCCTCTCTATCAAGTACATCAAGGAGGTAAAGTACCCCTCATGGCTGGCAAACGTAGTCCTCGCACAAAAACCGCCCTCATTCCGCGTGTGCGTGGACTACACGGATCTCAACAAGGCGTGTCCCATGGACCCCTTTCCTTTGCCAAATATTGATCAACTTGTAGATGAAACCGCGGGGTGTGAAATCATGTCATTCCTCGACGCATTCCGCGGATATCATCAAATATTTATGCATGAGGAAGACGATGAAAAAACAGCCTTCATGACTCCCGAGGGCATCTTCTGCTACCTTGTCATGGCCTTCGACCTAAAAAACTCAGGCGCCACCTACACTCGGATGGTGGCCAAGGTATTTCAAGCTATCCTAGGGCGTACCATGGAGGCATATGTTGACTACATGATCGTCAAAAGCAAGCAATCAGCAAGCCATGCTGACTACCT